TCTTGTCCAGTTTGTTTGAAAACCACTGATTGATGACTGAACAGTGCAAAAGAAGCAATTACCAATACTATGGCTATTGAAACATGTGAAAAGTGGCATGCAGTGTGATGAGTGCAGAGGATGGTACCATAAGATTTTCACGAATCTAACACTTGCGGCTTTTAAACATTTAAGTAAAAATGGATACGTCTGGTTGTGTTAACAATGGTGCATGGATGCAAATAGTGTGCTAATTGAAGCTACAGCAATGGTAAATACTGCTCGACGGTATAATAACAAGATGAATTTAACGATAAATAATTTGTCGACACACGAACTGATGTAAAACCATTCCAAATAGGCTCAATGTCGATTAACTTACATATGCCAAAGGATGAACGACCCAATTGAAATAGTTCTGTCAGAAATAAAAACTCAAGTAGGAGGTATCTTTTATCCCCATCATCCAAGTAACAGCAGTCAGAAAATGCTTAGGAAAACCAATCGTAAGACAAGATCTGTTTGTACTAGAAAAAATAAAAACCTGAACACCCAAGTCATCAACAATCATCCAGTATTTTACAGCGTGTGTGATACAGTTGTGAATGCTACTTCCGTGAAAACTGATGAATGGGTAAGAATTAAGAATAAGAAACGACCAACTACTAGTCTCCCCGTCAGTAGTTGAGAAATTGAGAGTTACCATAGTGACGGACCAGTTTTCTTTCATAAAGTTAAAGAGAGGAAATGCTCAGAACTCGCGTTGAGCATGATACTGATATTGATAAAAGATCAACTCAACCAGGTAATATCTAAAGATATCTCTGGAGTTACCTTGCTGAATATTTGTAGATTAGGTAGCCAAACGGACTTGGAGGAAAACCAAACTAGTCTCCTATAAGTGGTATTTAAATCTTCCAATGAAAAAGACTTAATATTACAGAATGGACATGAACCGAAGGGATCGGCAGACTCTTCCCCGTAAATGCCTGGCACTTAAAGACCAAATAAAAAGCGGAGAAGCTGAAAAGGAATTAGAACAAGGATTATGTATTGGCGAGCACATTAGAATCGTAAGTCTTTGAGTAGTGAGGCTTCGGCAGAGGATGATCCCGAAGTCAATTCAGGTGCAGTACAAAGCCATTTAAATGGTCTTCGGATCTGTCCCAGTCCATGTCGTCTCATGGACTAGCAACGAAAGAGTAAAAAGCTACAAGAGAAGCAAATACTAAGCAATTCTATGAGACCAGTCAGGGACAAAAAAAGGCAAGGCAGTAAGTGAAATTGAAGTACAGAAAAACAGGTGGGTAGAGCACCTTGAAGAACTCGTGGATAGTTCAGTACACTGACCACACCGGACATCGAAGCAGCACCTAAAGACCTTCTCAGAGATATCACTCCACCAACAGCCCTAAAAAAACCAAGACTGGGAAAGCAGTAGGACCTGACAGTATGTCAGCTGAAGCACTGAAGTCAGACGTAGAAGAAACTTCAAAGATGCTCGACGTTCTATTAAGGAAGATTTTGGAGGAGGAACAAGTGACGACGGGCAGGAAAGAAGAATACTTCATCAATAAACCAAAGAAAGGAGATCCGAGCAAGTGTGAAAAATACAGGGACACTAAACTAATATCGGTACCAGGAAGATTTTCCAACAGTGTTGTTGAACCGGATGAAAGTTTCAGTATACGCAACTTTGAGCTAGTGATACTACCCATTTGGCTAAACAAAAATACACAGAGCAGAGTTCAAACATGAAGCTTAGAGGATAAAAGTCGAACCCATTAACAAGTGAGATCGATGTTAAATGAAAAGGAGAAACTAACATTAATTACAGCTCAGAATTAAAAATAGTGATTGTTGATCAAAAGATGTTTGGTCACTTTTTTACGGATGCACACTGAAAGAATTCGGATATTAGTTTTTTTGAAGAACTTTCCATTAAGGTGATAAAATTAGATGGTGTAAGATAACGCCGTAATTTTATTTCAAGTCACTACTTGTTCAATGTTCAAACAATCAAGAGCTGTCTAGCATTAAAAAAATTTTTTCTAAGGTTTCTGATTAGTAAGTACGTCGCAAACATTTTACTTATACATGTTATGTTTCCGTAAAAAAAGGAGTTGGACTAATAATATTTTCATAATCAATAGCGAGATGTTCATGATGGGTCTATTAGCCTTTAAACGAAATACAGGAAGTGGGAAAAACACTTGATAATTAAGCATGTACATGAGGATGCATTTTATACGTCTAAATGTGAATACTTTTAGAATAAAGTACTGATACATTCTAGTTATGTTGCGAATGCTTAAAATTTTTATAGAAAAAAATTAGAAATGACTTCACAAAAATACTATATCTGGCTCATTATTAGCTTTATTAGGAAATAAAACAAGGGAAAAAATGATTCTTTGAATTAAGTCTTTCGTTTCAACGAGAATGAACAGTCAATTACTCATTGCAAATAATTATTTTAATTAATCGTGTGTTTTTAGCTTTTATTCACATCATGCACGACATTAATTGGGTAGATTGTTAGTGGACAGATAAAATTATGTTGACGATAACTTCATATGCTAATTTATCAAAAGATCGAGTATATGCATGCAAATCTAATCATTGTAATATTTCCGGTGGTCATGCACAGAAGTTTGATATACATGGGAAATATCATGTAAAACATTGTAACACTGAGAATACATTCAAAATTTACAAAAACTTGTTTTATATTCAACTAATTGAAAAGGAATCGTAAAATAATGTGACAATATACTAGAGATAGAATCATATTGAAGGGCAAGAGAATTAAAAATAGCGAAATTTATTTCTAAGTAGGCAGTAATGAACAAATTACGATTCACATGTGAGAAATGACATATTTTTATCGGTTTATTTTACGTTAGGTTAGATAGTTAAACAGCAATTCTTTATGTAAAATTTGATGAAAACTGACGTATTCTCCTACAATTATGATATCTGAATTTCGGTGAGCATATGTGATCACGATAACTGCAAGCCCCAAGTGTTGTCGAAAACACAGGACATTGTGTTAGCTTAAACTGACAGGGATTAGAATGCGTAAAACCGATTTCGTGATAATACTACGTTTTTGATTAAATTAGTCAATGAAAACAGATACTTTGTAAATACATTTAACGCCTGGATGAAAATGCTTAATTTGTTTAATAGAGCATATTGCTTAATTAGGAAAACAATGTTTAAATTAAATATAATACTTAATGAACTATTAAAAAACATATTGGAACCTCATTATTATTCGTGGTCAGGTTATTAAGACCATCATAATAGATAATAGGTAAGATATAATTAACAAAACAGATCATACTAGTAATAATTAAACAACAGATGACGTTGTATATTAAAACCCATTATTCATGATTGAATTAACCCTAATTACATTTGTTGAACTTGAATGATCGTTAAATAACAACAGTTCAATAACTCATTATTCAATCCCATTTTACCATATTATAGTACAACAGACGTAAAAATGATCTACACTTCTTAAAAAAGATATTATGGTACGGCCGAGAGTGGGGAGAGTCCGCTCTCCCTCTCGAAATACTCTCACACGGCCACGCGTATATAGCCTCTGCCAGGGAAGTCCTACTCACTGCCTTCTCGTGGCGGGGGTGTTGTTTACGAAAATGAGAGGACGAAAAGCGAATGTCCGGCGCTTTAACCGGATCCCAAACCAATGGTGCACATGGGCTCCAGTATCCTGCGGGAACAAATGGCGAATGAGCCAATTGTTGGTCACCGGCTTCCATGGGACTGCATCTCCTTACGATGCTCCACTGCCTTGTGGATCAGACCTTCAGGTCGAAGGCTCGGGGTGTGGCCCCCTAAGAAAACCACCTGCTTCGGTTTGGGCACCCGGGCAGTATCACAGCCCTCACACATATCGAATGAGATTTGTGTGGCGCATATGTATTTGGTGCCTCTTTGTACCATTATCTATGTGTTGAAATAAAAATAAAATAAAGGTAAAAATATTGTGGAAAATAATCATTCCATACTGAAAAATTTACTTAGCAACAATAACTGTTAAGTATTCATAACCTCTATGGTATCATGGGAGATAAGACAAACAGCACATGCAGTAAAGTTTACAGAACAATATAAACAGTATACAATGATGCACGAATGTTTGTTCCGTTATTATGTTAACTTCTGTAATGAAAAATATATTTTGTTTAAAACAAAAGTAGGCACGTCAAATGAACAGTTACAAACTAGGGATTTATAAACAACTACAAGCGAAAGACAATACGTGTGAAACAGAAGATTTAACGTGCATCAACTTGTTCCTCATCTTTCATTGATAAGAAAAAAAAGTTAAGTAACCTAACACCGCCTAGCTTATGTTTACTCACTTTCAACAGAGCACTCTGCTTTGACAATGGTACTACATGCCAATAATTCTTAAAATAAAAGAAATCAAATTGGAAGCAAAGAAATAAAACTTCGTATTAGCGAAAACTAATCAGTTTTGTTCGTTCAATTCCAATTCAACAACCAATCATACATACAAACCGATAGATTAAGTATAACGCCGGCCTATCCTGAACTTTGTAATCACTGATCAATATTATTTGGGTTGCATAATCAATTTTTAATAAAATTATTAGTAACTACAGCCACATTTTGCCAACTTTGCATCGCTAGTATTTTTTTTAGCATATGAGTCAATTTCAAGTATGCTTAATGCTATACTCTGTTTCTTCTTAATACTATGATTATTTGTCCTGTTTGGAGAATCTATGCTAAATTCACTAGTCAGAATTCATCAACTCATTGTTCTTAATCAAATTATTCTTTTTTAATTTAAGCTGCCAGCAGCTAATGACAAACCTTGAAATAGAATTAATTTATTTTATTCTGCAAATCAAATCTTTGTTTGCGTTCAAATTGAAAACTACAATCACTGACAATAATGGAATTAATATACATTAAAATGGAGATTTCCGAAGTTATACATATCTAATAGAACTAACTTTTTATATCAGCTGAGTCCTCCATTACTGCAGTAGAGCTGTCAGATGATTCTTTAATACCATCATTAGACTTCTTAGTTACAGAAGTATGACTTCCTGGAACGGTACCCCGACCAGCTATAAAGAGTATAAATCAACAAAATACAAAGTAAAATTCTACGAAAAATACCTAATAATACAGTTGGAAGAAAACTAAATATTACAACATGGAAACTAGACATAACAAAGTTTATTTTTGGATGTGATTAAACAAATAGAAAACAGAAACTACGCAAAACGGCATATATGATACACATTGACTGATAACTGTTAAGTACTAGCTAGTGGTGGGTAAGTTACAAAGATACTCATAGATAACTGTACACCGTACAAATGACACGAATTTTTATACGAAACAATGGTAAATAATTTAGAATCCAGTTAGTTTTGAAGTGAAAAAAAGACTCAGCTTTCCCGTTTTTAGAAAACCATTATCGACAAACTACATTTAAATGGAAAATATAATTAACAGCAATTTCAAAAGACAACACTGAACGTTTAACCTAGCGAGACTTGATCGTGAAAAACAGCGTATTTATTTTACAAATATTTCTGGAGTAGTTATCCAATAATATATATATATATATATATATATATATATATATATATATATATATATATATATATATATATATATATATATATATATATATAGTTCACGATTTTGTATGTACACTATGAAACCACTTACGTAAACAGCCATGCAATCAAAATCAACAAAAGTGCACATGAAAACAAATGCGTTGATATTGAGAAAAAACTTACAACTATCATCCTTTTTCACTATAGATTCATATAAAAACAGAGGCAAAACATGCAAAAACACAATAGAAAACATATCAAATGAGACGTGATATTAATACATCTGATTGTGGTAAATAAAACTACGTGCAAATAACATTTTAATGAATTCAAACACCCAATAATACAAGTATACTTTAATGATGAATGCATAGAGGCATGAAATGGATTCGAAGAGGTCAAAAATATATTATGAGACCAACATTTAGCTATCAGTATTTGAAAAGTGAACTTACTAGAAAAATTGCGTGTGGCTAGCATAGTCGTAAGTATAGCACCCTAAAAACGAAAAAAAAGCAGAAAGCAGGAAACTGTTAAGTGGGTAGATAACCACATTTGTTTAAAGCATGCACACACGTGAATGTGCCAATTATCAAGACTCTGAAAAACGATTAATACGTTTTACTATCGAGTTCAATCTAACGTAGACAGTGAGGAATAAAACGCGGGGATTATTACGGAGAAATTTTAGATGAAAAAGCTATTACTACACTTCAAATACAGATGGGTTAAGTAAATAGAGAACAAAAGAATTACTCAAGATGATGAGATAAATATAGTTATTCATCAAGTACATGCAATAAGCTCAGTAAATGATTATGGTGGTCGAACACTAGCCTTATAATTGAGATCAGATGACGCTATGTAATATTACATCTAGTCAATTAAAAACTAGTTAAAAATATATTGGTTTGAAGATTGAACATGACAGACAAGCAAAACACTGACTGAACAATTACATTTCATTTTTTATTCAAGATCTCGGTAATAAAAGTAATCAATAAATCAGTATAAAATTTGATAACATGAAACTGCACACACTCAATATAGTGTAAGGTTTTGTTTAGACTATAAATACTATTACTTTATATAACGTATCTTTAAGCCTTCTATGATAGGGTACCATCAAAAGAGAAGGAACAAACAAAAGTGGTGATAATCTAAGAATTCAATTATTATTGAATAAAGTAAAATAAATTTGAGCCATCGAATGCTTAAAAGAATCGCAGTATAATTTTAAAAAATAGTGGTATTAAACTCATTTTAGTTCAGTAAATGGGTTTTTGACAGTTATAACAAGAATACCTGATTGAGAGTCTAATAAATACCAAATTAATAGTTATATGCAACTAATCAGTACATTTATATATGCTGGTCACTCCACACAACACGGAATACAGTTGCATAAAGCTTTTATGATGGGAATCTTCAACTAGCGTTGTTATTCTAAATATGACAGAAAAATATTTTCTTGTCAGGCAATAAGCATTGTTGAGGCAACGTAACATTTGATTTGACACATTCTACCTGATCCCCAACTCTTGCTTAGATTCCTACGCGGCCCTTGAAATGTACAGGTTTAGTAAGCCCAACCAATTATTTATGCCAGTTAAATATCGTGGTAAATTAAGACGCCTAGAGAAACGTTACTTCGAGTCAAATGACTTCATGACAGTTGCAAAAATAACTAACTAACTAGTTTACGTAAATGATATTTGCGACTGCTTCTGTATGGGCAAGCCCCTTCCATAATAAGGTGACCTTAAAGTGATGTATTCATTTTCTTCGCATGAGCCGAACAGTATGCCAAGTTGCATCAGTATGGAGCTCAGCAAATTGGTCCAGTGATACTCAAATGGCATTTGAAACTTAACAAGACCAAATTTGGATGGATATACTCTGGCAATACTTCACTAAACCTAGACATTACCATAAAAAGTAGGGTGTTATACATGTTACATGGAGTAATGGGCCTAGGACTCAGGTATCCATACAATTTGTCATTCTCAGAACAGATCTCGAAACAGACCTTTAAGTCCCGACGTCTTCTGCGTTGCATAATTTGTAATCTTTATAACGAGTCACATATTTTAATGTGCGAATACGTGTTCGACTAATCCCAGAATACTGCACGTTTATAATTATTAGTATTGTTCACAAGAAGGATAAATCAAGGTTGGAATCCGTTCAGAGGTGATTTGTATATCGCATTCTCGGGATCGTTGTACTTTTATTTCTAAGTCCAGATGTAATAAATTTGGACTCGACCATTAGTGGAAAGGGAGACTTAGCTCAAAACTCACCTTTTTCTTTAAAATATTTAATAAACTATCTTTTAAATCTAATGAAGCATTTTAATATGCAGGATCTTCTGATTACAGCATCTGTGACTCTGTGTAATTAGTGAAACCATCTCATTCTAAATCTTCTCTCCATATGAATTACTTTATCAGTAAATTTTTCACTCTGGAAAATTTTACCACAATCTGCCTTTAAAATAAAAAGTCAATCCCATTCATTGTTCACCGCATCGATGCTTACTTCTCCTCTGGAAATGCTTGAAACTTGTCTACATCTGTAAGTATATCCCATACCAAAAGTGAGATTATAGGAAACTTAAATGTTTAGTTGTTATTACTAGCTGATGTTACTCTTACATTTAGACCTGGTTGACTGACCTATCGTAGTAAACATTACATTTGTTGTTCCGTGCTTTCTGCTTGCGTTTTATTTTCTATAGTTGTAGATGATTACAATCAATTCGTAATAGGGCGGGAAATGATTTTAAATACACTGTCTAAACATCAACAGAAGGTCTACTTAAAAAGAATTAAATGCTACCGGCTGAAGACTTTCATTGCTGTAATACATGTGAAAAATGTACCACCTAAACAATTTTGGAACTAGAAAACTTAAAACAATCTAATATTCCATATATCTTCTACATTTAATAGTACTATCTATTTCAAACTGATCATGCCTGTAAACTGGCATGAATTCTGTAATTATTATTTTTAAAATATATTATTATTTGACGGAAATTCTTAACCAGTGAATTCACCCCCAAAAAACACAGATGTAAACGGTTTGGGAACTATAAATGCGTAACCTTCCAGTGAAGTGCATATTGAGTGGTGTATGTGTGACGCTT